TCTCTCTCTCTCTCTCTCTCTCTCTCTCTCTCTCTCTCTCCCTCTCTCTTCTTCTTTTTTTAATAATACATATCACACTGAGCCAGCTATGTGTGTGTCCATCTAGTTTTGGCCTGCACTTCCTCACGCACTTTCTCATCCACGTGCCTCACACATAGGGATGCCGAGGGCACGTCGTAGTGCTTGCCCTCGTCGCCCCCGCTGTCGTTCCTTTCGTCATCTCAGAGGACACGTGGAAGTATGCTCGGGAGTGCTGCTTCGGATCCGGGGGTTTCTTCTCGGTCTCGTTTTACGTCTCGATGCGCGCCGACGAGACTCGGGCCGCGGTGCGTCGACTGGCTAGTAACATTTACGAGTACACGTGCACTTACGCACCAGGTCAACGTCCTTAGTGTACCGCATGCCGTCCGCGCAAATTAATCGAACCTGAAATTAATATACAATTATTTATAATGACTATATTTCATATATTAACTATAGCAGTTTTTGAACATGGCCGAAGACACTGCCGCGTCTCCTGATATACGATCGTTATCGGCATAACGACTGAGGGGAGTCACCGTCACCAGTCGGAACTTAATGAATATAATTGCAGTAATTGACGCAGTTGCTTCGAACGATTCCCGCGCGATCGATCACTTGGAAAAATAAAATAGTTCACTTGCTTTGCCTGATCGTAACTAACATGGAATTTAATATCAATTAACAGGAACAAGAGCGATTTAATATATTCCTGTGCGCTGTCTATTTATAGGAAAATAGGAATAGGATTATTCTCATAAGATATAAATATGTATATTGATGCAAAATATTAATTTACTATAAAATTCGACGTTACGCGGAGGAAATATTCTATCAATATATTGTTCCGTTCTGGAAACCAAATTATTCACAAATCCTTTTGTGTGATATATGAATATTTTTTATACCTTGCGCCGCTTAGTCTTCCGCGGTAAACAACAGGAATTGCCGCAACTTCCCCAACATTTAGCAAGCTTCACAGGTCGTCGACTCCGACATCCATTCTCGCTGTAGTACTCCCTGGTATGCTCCTTGCGACAGGTTGGTGCTGCGATATTGATATTAATTTTATTATCAAAACAATTTTAACGTTATTCCATTTAAAATTGTGGTCAAAATTAATACGATAGTCTATTATGACAGTGGGAGAATCTGTCTTTTTTCTAATATCAGATATATGTTCATTTAATCTAATACTCAATTTTCTTTATCTTTCCCTCTTTTAATGAAACTTTTTAGTGTTAGGAATTGAAAAGGTTAATTTGTAAGCATACTGGAAATAAGAAGGAAACTTTCGGAGATCGGTTTGACATAAGAAATTGTAAAATATTTATCGATGATGTGTATATTATATGTAAAGTGTTTATTGTGTATATGGAATTTTATTCTTTGTTCTATAGTGGAAAATATAAATTTATTTTATAATAAATATATATTCGTGGTTCATATATGATAATATTGAAAAAAGAATCACCTTTCTCGCAGTATCGTCCTTGCCAGCCAGTTTGACATCGGCAAGAATAGCTGTTGCCGTAAGGCGACGGTATGCATTGGGATCCTTTTTTGCATTCATGTCCGATACACGCATGTGAAGGCACCAATCCACTTAACGGCATGATGACATCTATTTATATTTAATTAATACATTTTTTTATCGTGAATGTATGGTATTATATAAAGATTTTGAATTAATTTAAAACAGGATAACTTCTTCTAATTTTTTAATCCAATTTAACGTTCTTGTATTGTATATACAATAATTCATCATTTTTTCATAAATGCAAGATGTTGAGTCATTACGTCGTTCAGTCATTTATGTGTGTGTATATATATATATATATATACACGTTGTGTAAAAAATAAAATGTTAATTTTAACTCAAAGA